CTGACAACAGGTAACAACTGTCACTGTTAGTATAAATAAAGGTATTTATACGTAAATATTATTAACAAAAAATATAATGATTAATTAATCTACCAGTTATGTGAAATAATTAAAATAATTTCAGTAACAATGTGTGTTGCAGTGGAAACCTATTATAAAACTTATGTCTTAAAAATGAATGGCAAAGAATTATAATTAAAACCTGATTACCTAAAAGTTACAAAAATATAAGAATTGAGCTGCTGGAGTAAATTAGTAAAAACAAAATCATAAGAAAAACATGCCACTACCATCATTTTTTAGCCGTCTTCCTAGCCCTAGCAGTAGTAACACAGGGCTTGGGAGCCGAAGATGCCGCCGCCGCCGTCGCCGCAGTCAAGGATGTGGTAGTAGGGACACCACCAGCTGCATCAGGAATGGCGATCACCTCAGCCACGGTGTACACCCGGTGCTTCGTGCCGTCGGACCCAAGCACCACAACATATCCATCGCGTGTCCAACACTGGGATACACCAAAGCGCTTCCGAGCAGCAACAAACGCCTCATGACGACCCTTAGTCATGAACTCAGATAGAGTAACTCCGCTACCCTTTAGCTTGGTTTTGGAAAACCAAACTTTGTCACGGAGATCCTGATCTTGAAATTTCACGAGCAACACACGAGGCTTGTCGCCACGGGGGCGCCCTAAGCGATGGCATCTGGTAATAGAGTCCACACTTAATTCAGGGATGTTCAGCCGCTCTGATAATACCTTACTTGTGCAATGTACTAGGTTCTCATCTTGAGCTTCTGGCATTCCATGGACAAGCAACATCTTCCTCCTGGTCCTTACCTCCATTTCATCTTGCTGCCTAGAGAGAAGCTGGAGCTGAAGTTGCAGATTCTCAAGTGCTGACAGGACGAATGCCCTAAATGCATTAAATTGTGCATTAATATTGGAAGAAGGGCTCGTTGCAGGGATGGATGTTCTGACCTCCCTCTGGAACTCATCCATACGTGAAGTGAAATTCAGTGTTAGCTCTTCAATTGACTTCTTAAGCAAATCCATTTTTAATATTCAATTAAAGGTTACTTAAAGGTCAATGTCAAGTGACAGTGAAGTGGCAAAATAAGTTTTAAGTTGTGCAATGAAAAACAAATTATTAGTAAACAATGCTGGTGGATTTATGTAATTACAGGTACATTTATATACTTGATTGTTCTAAATTTACTATAATTAAAACTTTAAAAAATCAGGAACGATTTTAAATATGTCAACACAGTTTTGCGCCTACCCACCGAAAAATTACTATTTTTTTAATACTATTTCCTTTTAGTAAAAAGATAGAGAAGGACTTTAAGATTTTTCAGGGAGAAAACAGAGCAATATGTGCTTTTAAATAATGTAACAAACTGTCTACTGATCATGTATTTTCGCGAGGAATGATAATAAAGAAAATAATCACACATTTTATTGTATATATATATATACATTAATCGTGTAAATTTAAACAATAACTTGTAGTATATGCATATTATATATATAGCGTACCATCCTCTTAAATATACTTGCCGGCAAATTGTAAAGCTTGCATAAGAAGAGATATAGAAAGCCAATATACCTAGTCATAAATTCGGTCACATGTTTAATATAAAATAATTGAAACAAGTTTATTCATTATGTAACCATTTATATACTAAAATGAACTTAACAAAACATAGATTCTTATGATACTAAAGTTTATTCAATATGACCTCCGTGATTTTGAATACAGGCCTTCAATCTGCGCGGCCAGTCGTCTATCGGAGCACGAACGAGGTCCATGTCAATATCGGCGGCTGCCTTAATCAAGGATGTCTTGAGTGATTCCAAATTGGGATGAGGCTTTGAGCACGCCTTTTCCTCCAAGTGTTGCCATATCTTGTAATTTAACCGATTCAAATCTGGACTGGAGAAGGGCCAGTCTTCGTGCCGGATGAAATCGATTTCACGCGCCGCCAGCCAGTCTTGTGTGCTCTTCGCTCTATGAGCTGGCACCGAATCTTGTTGGAATACCCAGTGCTTGTTATTGAACATGGTATGAGAAACAGGTTCCACAAGGTTCGTCAGGACTGTATTTTGATACACAACTGCATTCGTTTTTACACCTTTCTCACAAAAATGTACCTCTGTTAAGCCCCAATAAGAAACTCCCAACCATACCATGAGCGAGGATGGAAAATGACCTCGTTGGACACGCGGAATACGGTGCTCGCTTCTTCACTACTGTGAACGTACACCTTATCATTTTGTTTGTTGTAGCTCTCTTCTACGGTAAAATTTTTTTTATCCGAAAAAAGAATTTCCTGATATTTTTTTCCCGCGTACCGCTTCAACAAAGCGCGGCATCTCTTCAGTCTTAGGTCCATTAGACGAGCATTCAAACGATGTCCTGTTTTTCTTCGATATGCCCGTCTTCATTTAACACCTTTTCACCGTGGTTCTGCTTAACCCCATCTGAAGGGCCAACAGTTTCTGCTTACGTTTGGGATTTCTTTGAATTAGTGTCTTCACAGCTTTTATCACTGCTGGAGTCCTAACAGACCGAGGGCGACCACTTCTTGACCTGTCATCTACACTAGAGTCTTCATTGTATCGTTTGATGGTACGATAAACGAATCTTTTGATTATATTCAAATTTTTCAGTATGTCAAAAATTTGAATTAGCGTGTAACCGCAACGATGCAACGCAATAACTGCAACACGGTATTCTTTAAGCGTCCACTCCATATTTAAAAATGAGTAAAATTCTAAAAAGTATACAGCTTTATTTTCATGAACAATTCGAAATTCGAATTCAATAAACTTTTTTGTGGCCAGCATTCTAAAAGAAAAGTTTTTACTGTGTGACAATACTTATGACCTGACTAGGTAAGTAGAGACTGTGCTGCAGTCCATGTTATCCACAGAGGTGACAACGTATCTGTAGCTTTACTAGTCACTTATTTTTACTACTTTCAGGTGTAAGTTCGGTTGTTACTACAAATTTATAAAAAAAAAAACTCACTCGTTGGTTTAGTGGTCGTAAACGCGGTTGCTGATCATGTTGTGTCCCGCGCCTCGGAAAGCACGTAAAGCCGTTCTGCGCCATATCTCTCCCGTCGTCGTTTAGGATTTCCGTCTATCGGACTATGCCAGTGAGGGTATAGAGAGTACAATATAATCCAAAATATGTCATATCCACACTGCCAGCACGTAGTGCTGCGTGCTGCGTGCGAGTGTACGTACGTACCGACGATCTTGCGTCCGTCGTCGGTCTTGATGCGCACGACCTGCATCTTGTGCAGCGCGGCGCGCGCCGCCAGCGCCGCCTCCATGCGCGCCCACACCGCCAGCACCGACCCCGCCAGCACGTAGTGCGTGCGTGCGTGCTGCGTGCTGCGTGCTGCGTGCTGCGTGCGAGTGTACGTACGTACCGACGATCTTGCGTCCGTCGTCGGTCTTGATGCGCACGACCTGCATCTTGTGCAGCGCGGCGCGCGCCGCCAGCGCCGCCTCCATGCGCGCCCACACCGCCAGCACCGACCCCGCCAGCACGTAGTGCGTGCGTGCGTGCTGCGTGCTGCGTGCTGCGTGCTGCGTGCGAGTGTACGTACGTACCGACGATCTTGCGTCCGTCGTCGGTCTTGATGCGCACGACCTGCATCTTGTGCAGCGCGGCGCGCGCCGCCAGCGCCGCCTCCATGCGCGCCCACACCGCCAGCACCGACCCCGCCAGCACGTAGTGCGTGCGTGCGTGCTGCGTGCTGCGTGCGAGTGTACGTACGTACCGACGATCTTGCGTCCGTCGTCGGTCTTGATGCGCACGACCTGCATCTTGTGCAGCGCGGCGCGCGCCGCCAGCGCCGCCTCCATGCGCGCCCACACCGCCAGCACCGACCCCGCCAGCACGTAGTGCGTGCGTGCGCGCTGCGTGCTGCGTGCTGCGTGCGAGTGTACGTACGTACCGACGATCTTGCGTCCGTCGTCGGTCTTGATGCGCACGACCTGCATCTTGTGCAGCGCGGCGCGCGCCGCCAGCGCCGCCTCCATGCGCGCCCACACCGCCAGCACCGACCCCGCCAGCACGTAGTGCGTGCGTGCGTGCTGCGTGCTGCGTGCGAGTGTACGTACGTACCGACGATCTTGCGTCCGTCGTCGGTCTTGATGCGCACGACCTGCATCTTGTGCAGCGCGGCGCGCGCCGCCAGCGCCGCCTCCATGCGCGCCCACACCGCCAGCACCGACCCCGCCAGCACGTAGTGCGTGCGTGCGTGCTGCGTGCTGCGTGCGAGTGTACGTACGTACCGACGATCTTGCGTCCGTCGTCGGTCTTGATGCGCACGACCTGCATCTTGTGCAGCGCGGCGCGCGCCGCCAGCGCCGCCTCCATGCGCGCCCACACCGCCAGCACCGACCCCGCCAGCACGTAGTGCGTGCGTGCGTGCTGCGTGCTGCGTGCTGCGTGCTGCGTGCGAGTGTACGTACGTACCGACGATCTTGCGTCCGTCGTCGGTCTTGATGCGCACGACCTGCATCTTGTGCAGCGCGGCGCGCGCCGCCAGCGCCGCCTCCATGCGCGCCCACACCGCCAGCACCGACCCCGCCAGCACGTAGTGCGTGCGTGCGTGCTGCGTGCTGCGTGCGAGTGTACGTACGTACCGACGATCTTGCGTCCGTCGTCGGTCTTGATGCGCACGACCTGCATCTTGTGCAGCGCGGCGCGCGCCGCCAGCGCCGCCTCCATGCGCGCCCACACCGCCAGCACCGACCCCGCCAGCACGTAGTGCGTGCGTGCGTGCTGCGTGCTGCGTGCGAGTGTACGTACGTACCGACGATCTTGCGTCCGTCGTCGGTCTTGATGCGCACGACCTGCATCTTGTGCAGCGCGGCGCGCGCCGCCAGCGCCGCCTCCATGCGCGCCCACACCGCCAGCACCGACCCCGCCAGCACGTAGTGCGTGCGTGCGTGCTGCGTGCTGCGTGCGAGTGTACGTACGTACCGACGATCTTGCGTCCGTCGTCGGTCTTGATGCGCACGACCTGCATCTTGTGCAGCGCGGCGCGCGCCGCCAGCGCCGCCTCCATGCGCGCCCACACCGCCAGCACCGACCCCGCCAGCACGTAGTGCGTGCGCACGCGCAGGCCCACCTGCACACACAACACACCAAATAACTACAGACAACGGACCATTACACAGATTATTACAGATACAATTACATAACTTATGATATGGAAAAATCTCTTACAGCATATTACGTAGTTTTCATTCCGTGTAGTAGTGGTGTAAGAATATCCACTACCTTATATCGTCTCGTGGGGTGTCGTGAGACGACGGAGAGAAACAAACCAGAAGATGGACATTAACGTGTTCCTACTTCCTAGCAGGAACTAGAAAATAAAAAAACTAAGCGTGGTCACTACGGCAAGTATTTCCCTTATGAGACAATCAATGAGGGAGGCCTACGTGACGGCGCTGTCGTCGCGCCACAAGCGAAACACAGCTACCAAAGTTCCGACATTAAAACAGTATATATAGAATAGCTATTCTTATATAGCTATTCTTCGAACTACCACTCGGAGCTTTTAAGCAAAATATTAACTACCACTCGGAGCGTTGGCCGCTCCCCGGGCAGAAAACCTTGCCCGGCGAGAGAACTCCCCTTTTCCTTCCACCGCCAAAGTGGTGACCCCGACGTGATCTGAACACGCAACCAATAACCTTCGGAAAATACAACTTCAAACCTTCGTCATCGTCCTCAAGTACCCCCCAATCACTCGCTCCCGAGCAGATATTGTCTGCAGTCTTCCCATTCTGCAAGCCATCTAGCTTTATTAAGGTTCATCGCAGCACTGGAATAATAATGCTTTCTGTTCCTTCAAGCTACTCTCTGCGCTACAGTGTTAGGCACGTCTCTGAGCCTTACTGCTCGCCTCTGCTTCACGGCACTCTCGTCGCTTTACTTGCTTACTGCTCGCCAAAGCCTATATTCAGAAGTGGACTTAGATAGGCAGTAATAAAAGAAAAATGCATTAAAGCTGTTACAACTTTTATCAAGCCTCTGAACATGAATTTTCTTTTACATCTAATTCGTATCGCAATCGGGCATTCCTTTACCTCATAACTTTCTTCTGGGTGAACCGATTTCGATGATTCTTTTTTATTTGTAAGGTCTGACCAATAGTTTTTGAGTTATTCTAAATAATTTATATTGAAGTCGGTTGTACAAAATTTTTAATTTTAAATTATGTTGTCTTATTTTCTAAAATTTCAAAAAATGTAAAAAGCAGTTTTATTTCATACAGAATGACATTGTTCGCGCCAAATGCTAATTTCAAGAATTTACGCCAGGGGGCGCTCAGCGCGGTGATTTCCTACCGGTTGACGTTCGCCAGAGATCGGATTGGTTGCGAACAGGGCGCGTCGGAAGTGTTAATGCAGCGCAGTCACTAGAACGGCGTGGTCGTGTACCGTATAACCAATCTCTATATCGTGTCGGTTTTGTTAGCAAATTTATGCAACGACGAAGAGTTTTGTTGAATCTAGGAAAATAGATTTTCTGCACGGACGCCGGGTCGGTTAATTGTTTTGGAAGTTAACATTGATTGCGATCAACGTCCGAATTTGAGTATGGTGCGCGCCTAATTACTATCTAACATTTGGGTATCTTTAATACCGCCTCGAATTGAGTGTCTATTTGAGTTTTACGTGACAAGAGGCCTAATTTGAGTTTTGAGTGATTAAAGTAACTGATTATCAATATTGTTGCGCGACGGACGGCTTGTATTGAGTTTGAATTATTAACTTAACCTTGATTGACATCAATTTGATTCGACGATTTGCTTCGTGGCATTTTGATATCGTGCGAGTAAACCCGGAACATTGAATATTGAACTTTGAACGACGGTTCGTTACTTGTGTTGTGCTGCTCAGTTAAACTGTGAAGTCGCGCGTAAAAAGGGAAGTTATTAGAACCGCGTGTGCGCGAATATAATCTGTTGCTGGGTGAAAATGGAAGTTGAACTTTGATCGCCCGTTCTTTAGTTGTGCCGTGTGTCACATGTTTGATTTCGATGAACGTTGAATTGGTTGACTTTGAAGTTAATTATATGTACAATAAAGTGGCTAGACTGAAATAGTGAAGTGACGTCAGACTTGAGTTCAGATAAGGTGAACTATCACTGGAGGACCGCACATTTGGAGAAACGCAGCGCCTGCAGATCTGCGGTTCGATTGCCACGGTTAAATCAGGTTACACATGTCCACACTACTCACATGCACATACTTAACGCCTGAACGCGCCTTGGGGTAGGTTCTCGATTCGGAACCAGGTAAGTTCTTATTAATTACCTAGCCTTACATCTATTGCGTAGGATAATTGTCCTTCAGGCATTTGAGCCCCACCCTTAGTTTTCAGTCGAATCTACAGCTGTATGGGCCCCTGTATGGTCGACCTTTGTAGGGGCAACTAGGGGCGTGTACAGACATAATTTAGAACTTCAACTTCAACGTCTAAATTACCTAATATTCAAAGAAAATCTTTAAATTAGTCCTTAGTTAGACATATTCGGCTTTTACTGTTAAAAGTCGAAAGAAATCGGAGCTTGAGAAACGAAATATTTGTTTGTAAATATTATAAATCAAACGCAATATATGAATATTTTATAATTTGTTATTAAAAATATCAGGAATACTTCTTATAATATCACAGGAAGGATTTACAATGCTTATTAATGAAATGGCGTCACTACTATTATGCTTTCACCTCAGATATAGAAAAAATATATCGGCAGATCATTATAAATGAACAAGATCAGCGTTATAAAAATATGTGAAGAGAATCACTGGAACAACGTTTGCAATCATATCAACTTACGTCCGCGTGCGAGTGTCACATCACTTAGCCAGTTACGCGCCTTTGTTCTTCTACTGTAGGGTTAGGTGTCGTGAGAAAACAAATTGAATCCTTTGATATGCTATGCAGTGCCTTTTGGCTTTTTGAGAGGCCATACTTGAATAAAAACTCAAAAATAAATATCAAAAATGCCTAAATACTTAGAGAAAAATAATTTTTATGTTAACGTAAGGCGCGCGTCAGCTCGAGCGGTCGCGTGACAACCTCACGGAATTAGCCCCGCAGGCCGCGCAGCGTAGGTATATTTTCATGCCTAAAGCGCGGAGTGCGACAAGCCTGGTATTACTCAGACATTGCCTTACATCTGGCTATCTATTGTGGAAAGAAGAGTTTTACAAGTATGGATAGTGTTGCCATATGTTTAATAAATACTAATAGTGAGTCAACTTCTTTGTTATACCGCAAAATACCTACAGGGCTGTCATCGCTAAAAATATGCAAGGGTTGCCACAAAAACATCTAATGAAGATAATAATGTCATAACATTATATTTTATCTGTATTCCTCGTAAGAATTCATTTTTCTATACAAGATATAAAGTAATTAAAAACTAGTGGCGGTCCGCAGCTTCAACTGAAACAAAGACTTGTGCTAGTGCCAGTAAGTACCTACCTAATTTTACTATATTTTACCTATTATAGGCAGAATAAATAATAGTACAAGATAAGAAGGATCACTCTCTAATAGCAAACTTACGTGTTTATAATTTAAAATTAAAAATTTTGTACAACCGACTTCAATATAAGTTATTTAAGAATAACTTAAAAACTATTGGTCTGACCTTGATCAAATTCATATGGGACCACACGAGAAGTACCAGCTTTCAAATAAAAAAAGAATCATCGAAATCGGTTCACCCAGAAAAAAGTTCTGAGGTAACACACATAAAAAAAAAAAAACGAAAAAAAAAAAACATACAGTCGAATTGAGTACCGGCTCCTTTTTGGAAGTCGGCAGAAAACTAGTTACAACGTCGCTAATCATCGTAATACTTTGCACGTCTCGGAAGTGACCTTCGTTAAATTAGCCTACGTCGAAACAAAAATGAATGCGGAACGCGTATTAATTGAAAATGCACCTTATGTCCGCGTGCGAGTGTCTGTATCACTTTGCCCGTTACACGCCTTTGTTGAGGCCGCCCCCAACTGTAGGGTTAGGTGTTGTGAGAAAACAAATGGAATCCTTTGATATTAGTTGGTATATAGTAGAATACACTGAGGTGTTATGCAATGTATTATAATTTCTTTATTTCGTTTTGTTAACAAAAAGTTACACCCACACTAGGATTTTCTCCTGTGTTGTGGAGGCAGTTTACAAACATAAATTGCACAAGGACAAATATCTAGACCCGGGATTCAAACCCATGGCCCCAGCGTTGCAACTCATAGCTAAGCCATTGCGCCACGGAGCCGTCAATTTGCTGATAATAAAAAACATTATTGTTCAATGTGAGGAAGGTTAATATGCAACATCGAGGAAAATTAAGATTATAACAACCTGAACGTCTTTGAAACTCAGATAATTTACCTACTTATCACTTTTAACCGAATTCAAAAAAGGAGGAGGTACTCAATTCGACCGTTTTTTTTATGAGTTACCTCAGAACTTTTTTCTAGGTGAATCGATTTTGATGATTCTATTTCTATTTGAAAGCTGGTGCATATAATTCTTATATCCAATATAAAGGAACATGCGACAAATTGGGCTCAGTGTCCAACAGAGTTATGGCATATGCCATTGTAAAGGATTTTGTTCGTACTTAAATTGTTACTATCGGCACCACCTTCAATTCCATTGCAGAAAAAAGATATGCACCTAAATAGGTTTTGTAGACAAAGACAATTGGTAGTCGTAAAACTGTTATTGAAACAACAAATTGATAGTTTAAAATAATGGTAAACAATAGATGCGCCTGCGCCCGTGCGATTTACAACACTATCACTCACACCTTTCGGACGTCTGCGCGGGCGCCCGTCCCTTCTAACTATATTATACTACTATATTTTACTATATCTCAATATCCCTTGGGTCTTGATAAGTCATATTGCAGCGAACATTTACGTAATGGTTTATATAGGATAGAAATCTATTGTGAAAATGAATTACATGATATAGCAGCATGCACCAAAATGTGTGGCTAAAATGAAATAGGTCCAGATGCCAACGCTCAATATTACTCCTCGTGTCTAACAGGTAGGCACACAGTAGGAAGTTGTGCATACTGTTTCAATAATA